TGAGAGAGCCAGTGACACATGGTGGAAAATGATGGAATTAGGCAACTTTTTACGTGCCCGAGGGGTCCCCTCATTAATGGAGGAGCAGAAGGTCATTAAAACAAGAGAGCTAGTCTCTAAAATAGACATGGCTATGGCTTGATGCTAACATGTTTATAAGCTGTCAGAATTCTGAGAAAAAAGTCAGAATTCTGAGAATAAAGTCAGAATCCAATAACTTGTTTGGGGGCAATAGTTACAAACAGGTTATCTGGCACACCTTTATCATGCCAAAACATGTCCACTTCCCATGTTTCTTTTGTTTGTTACTTGTCTATTTTTTTCATCTAATGTTGTTCGTTCTTAGTTGTTTTTTTCTTTTCATTTGTGCATTCCTTTTTCCCTTTTCATTCTCTTTCATGCCTTTTTTCTGTTTCATTTGTTCCTTTTCTTTCATTCATCCCCTGTTAGTTTATTGTTTTGTTTTCTTCTTTATGTTCATTAGGTTGTTGTACAGTGCTTTTCATTCTCTTGTAGGAACAGATTTTCTGGCATACATTAATGACATTGTGTTACGTTTGATTTTGTGTATTTCATTGGTTCAATGGTTTATTCTCATTTATTTTTTCATTTTATTTGTTCCATTTCATTTCTCCATGTTTGTTCATTACCTCTTATTTGTTCATTCACTTCATTCCATTCAATTGTTCTCTTTTGTCTGTTTAGATTTTTAGGTTGTTATTCTTTACTTTCTCCTTGACATAAGGTATCCAAGAGGTAAAATATTTAATTAAAAGCTGTAAAAGCAGGCAAGCATTTTAATAAATCTTTCCCCGGTCCTTCCAGTGAGCACTCCACTGCAGTAACGTTATTGCTTATACCAACGGAAAGTCCTAGATTAACTGTGATGAGGTGCGGGCTGATTTCTCTGTGGCTGAACCAGACGTCAGTTCTGATACGGAGACCACAGCTTCACTTCTGTTTTTATTTGTCTGGTTTTTCTTATCAAAGTGGTGCAAGAGGATGAAAGAGACAGTTTCTCTGCAATGAGACTCAGCTTTTCAGTAGCTCAGCAAATGTAACCCAAAAGTTAATGAGAAGAATGAGAAGCTTTAACCAAACAGCTTTAAGGTAAAGAATAAATCAACCAAAGCAGTTTTATAAACATGCAGATGGCCGTTTCCTCTTAAATGAGGATGGACAAAGTTTACCAACAATCATATGACGCTGAAACTCACACATTCACTGACTTTCTGTGGCTTTGACTAAAATGAAAATTGAGATTTCACAACAGTGACTCAAGTGGGCATTTTAAATTCCTGCCTCTGACGCATCTTACTCATTTCCATGCAACACATTTTAGAGGAAATTACTCCAGTTTCATGTTTTTCTTTTTTGTAGCCCTAAGCCTCAGCTTCTTGGCTTAATATTTTGTTCAGTGCAAATTTATTGTTTCCAGTCTGGTATTCTAGACAGCTACCACAGGATGTGACTTCCATCAAAAACATGGTGTTTCACCACCATCATAATTCTGAGCGATAATGAGCAAATAAGATAATAATTGGAAGCAGATGTTCTGCAGAATGATGGCCTGTTTTTTTTTTCTTGTTGCTGATTACTTTCATCTTTTTGATCAGTTATTTTGTGGTATGTGGTAGTGAGGTGGATGTGAATAATCTTCCCTCTCACTCTGACTCATACGAGAGCACCGCCTTGGTTAAGTGAACATTTCTTCATAGGCAGACCTGCAGCGAAACAAAAAACAAAAGATATTAGTCACAGAAGTTAGACCTAGCCACGTGCTGCAGGAACATGTGCTACTTATGCCTTTGAGGTGGTAAAGCACCTTGTATAGTTATGGACAACATTTAAATTTACATTTAGTCATCTGGAGAAGCTTTTTTTCCCCCTATGAGGGACTTACTGTAAACATGTCCATGAAAGGACAACATGTACATTTTGCAGCTTTTTTTTATCTTTGATTTTTACACAACCTTAAATCAAATAAGAAATAACTAATAAGTGAGAAATGACTTCATAAAAAAATATTCTTAAACACATTTGATCAATTTTAAACCAGACTGGTGGTAGGATAAAAAAAACCCAAACCCTTGTCATGCTGTTAGATGCATGGCAGGGTTTGGCTTGGTTTTATTATCGTCCACAGAAATTGTGTTTTTTTTCTCGACTTTCTTGCTTCGTTTTTAAACAAACCGATCAGTATTTCTAAAATCTGGTGTATGGTGACCACATGGGTGAACGAGAATGCTAGGTTTGTCATTTTTTAGTATTATGTTAGATAATCTATTTCTGGGTGCAGTGGTTAGCATGGCTTCATCGCAACAAGAAGGTTCTGGGTTTGAATCTTGGAATGGGGTCTTTCTGCATGGAGTTTGCATGTTCTCCCTGAGCATGCATGGGTACTCTGGCTTTCTCCCACAGTCCCTTGATTTTATGTTATGACATCATGTTCTACTCACCCCATATGAGTTTTGTGTCATTTGGAGCCGTTCTGAAGATATTCCGTTGGGTTATATCCAAATAACGTCTTCCTATGGGCAACGACTTGAAGGCACAAACTAAACTGTTCATAATTTATTTGTTATGGTTTGCCAGCATTCATAACATGTAGCGAATCACTGTCCCCCAGACATCCCCGGTTATATTTTTATATTTATATGTTTTAAAAACAAAGCGGAGTGTGTATACACACTCTATTCATTGGACTAGCTAATCTGAATCGTTCAATTCCATTTGGAGAGCGAGATCATCTGTGGTAATAGCACTAGACATCTTCCAGGCATGTGAGGAAAACTAGCAGCAGTTCAGCGGACAGGATGAAGGAACGGTAGCCGGTGCTCGCAGATGACGTCATACACGCGCCTCTTTGTTTTTAAAAGATATAAAAATAAAAAATATAACCGCGGATGTCTGGGGGACAGTGATTCACCTACATGTTATGAATGCTGGTGTACCATAAAGAATAAATTATGAACAGTTCAGATTGTGCCTTCAAGTCGTTGCCCATAGGAAGACGTTAACCTACAGAATATCTTCAGAACAGCTCCAAATGACACAAAACTAATATGGGAGAGTAGAACATGATGTAATAACCTAAAATCAAGGGCCCAATGTAAAAAAAACAACAACGTTGTTTTCCTTTAACTGGCTTCTCTAAATTCTCCTTAGGTTTTAATAGTTGTTTGTCTCTGTCTTGCCCTGTGATGGACTGGCGACCTGTCCAGGGTGTACCCTGCCTCTTGGCCATAGACAGCTGGAGATAGGCACCAGCACCCATTGTGACCCCGCTTCGGATAAGTGTGATGGAAAATGGATGGATAAATAATTACTCTACCTGATCAGTTAATATAGAGACATGCAAATGTAAACAAACCTCAGGTCTCCTAGAGGAGCTGTTTTATTACTACAAATACAATATAATTACAATGCAAATGGATAGAAATTATTTTAGTCCTTTGCTTATGATAAAAATAAAAGCGGTTTTAAAGTAATTAGAAAAGCCATTAACAAGGGCATTAAAAGCACAGAAAGACAGTAGAGCTTTTCCTTGATTATGTGGCTCCATCTCGGCTCGCCTTTTTTGTCCCCTTCTTACTTCATGTTTCAGGAAAGCTGGATAGATCTCTGAGTTTAAACTTGACTTGGAAGCAGAGAGCTTCTCTTTCAGCATCAGGACATGCGACACAAAACATCTACATTAAAAAAAAGACGAATAATGGTGAGATAAGGCCTTTAAGAGAGAAGCGTCTGAAAGTGCAATCCTCTATATGTTTTTGATGGCCTTAGACTGCAGTCCAAGAATGATATGTGTGAACGTCGGCACAGGCTGCTTGGTGCAAATAGAAATAACTTTATGCATCAGTGAGATTTTTATTAGAACCAAAACATTTTTGCTAATCCTAAGATCTTTAGGAGTAAACTCTGGAACCAAGTCCTGAAACTTTGAAACTTTATAAGTCTTTGGGTGGAAGAGCATCAACCCTGTCTTCTCTTTTCTCTGAGTACAGTCCTATTAATCGACTCTTAATTTTAATGAAATCTAACCCTGTTCAAATCCCTTTATCACATTCAAAATAAGTACTGACCCTACAGCTTAATACTACCACAACTTTTCTTTTTGCTAGTTTGGTTTTGTTCAGGTGATGGACAGCTCTTGCTTTCCTTGCAACAAACAGTTTGATCTTGCACTTTGGGTTGTATAGTCTTTTTTTCCCCCTGATTGGCTTAAAAGGGCAGATGGCATCAGTCCAACTTTATCTGTTTCAACCCGGAAATGTGCAGAGCTGAGTCACGGTGACTGTACATTTCTAACATTTTCTTATAGCTCAGCCATTGTAGGAACTATTTCGCATTCCTGGAATCCACAGTCTTACAATCAGGTATATCAGGAGCATCTGGTTTTAAAACAAGCAGATTCTTTTCCATGAACCTGGGTGGTGTCTACTTACCTTTTGTTGAGGCTCACTAATACACAATACAGTGTAATGTGGTGGAAAAGCTCAATAACTAATTGGGTGATTTAAACTCAGTAAATAGCATAGAAACGTGACAAACAGAACATTTTCTATGTAAAACAAGATAAAAAACACCAAACGTATTTGCTTTCTTTTGGTAGTGCTTTATTTAATTGGATTTCCTCTGCACAACGAACTCCATTATTTCCAAACCTTGCTGATTTTTGCACCTCTTAGACACTCACCTCCTTGCATAGCTTTGCATATATCTCATCCATACAGATAAAACTAATGAGTGATGTAGATCTTTGTTTTATTTCCATTTCTGAATCATTCTCTCTACTGTAGTGATCGATAAACTGTGTCATTCGTCGAAAGTTGAACTTGTTTAAATGTGAGATGAAAAAGACACTTCATAGCTACACTGAGGGTAGTTTTGTGGAAAAATATTCAGGTATTAAAAGCAGCTAAATTAGTATGTTTTTATTTCTCAGTGTATTTATTGATTTGAGTCCATTTCTCTTTTATCGCAGCAATTTTTTCTTGACTTTAACCTCCAGTGATCAGTTTATCCTACAGAAAAATAAGAAGCAAAAAAGGAAAAACATTAGGAGTGATAAAAAAGATCAAAGTAGCTTACATTTTAATTCTTACTTTCTTGGCGTTGTCCACACACTGCATGTAGGCTGATGCAATAGCTGAGCAAGTCAACGTTCTCCTTGGGTTCTCCTTGTAGCATCTCAGGATCTGACCCTGAAGGTCTCCACAGAGAGGCTGGGTGTGAAAACGTCTGAAGGAGAAAGAAAAAAAAAGGGATCTGTCTGGAAAAGAAACAGTATTTCTCTCCATGATGGTGAGAAATAACACTTGTCATGTTACTGATTTTGACTTAATTTAGTGAAACATTTAGAATGAAAACTTACGCAAAACGCTCATTAGTTTCCTCTTTGCCTTTCTGGAAGTTTTCAGCTGAAACTTTGTAAAACTCTACACACTGTGAGGAAAAAACACAGGCATAATATACATGTTTATGAAAAGAGTGCAGATGATGAGCTGAACAAATGATGCACATCCACTGGTTTAGTGGAAACGTGAGTCTGGCTGCCCCTTAGTGGCCAAAGACGTGTAAAACACAGATAAATCTGGTGGTGCTGAAAAACACCTAAATACTACATAAATACCTGCTTCAATCAGGATTAAAAGAAATATAGATGGAAAAAGAAACAACTTTATGACCAGAACAAGAGGGTGTGATCTAGCCTGAATTTAACACAGAATCCACCAACGTACATACATTTTTTATCTCTGAAAAAAAATCATTATTAGGTTCACATCACAAGCATTATTAATATTTGTTTTCTAAAGGCTTGATGAAGCTTAATCCCAAACATCATCCCAGCATCCTCTGTCAATGTTTTACAGATCCTTCTGCAGGGATAGATGTAGAGATGTCCTGCTGTCTTAGCCAAGCAAAAAACTTTACAACTCTACTTTTTTTTCTTGCACAGATTAAACAATTCATGCAAAAGCACAACCACACTGGAAAAAAAATCGAAATCTAGCTATGTCATTTTCACTTAAAATAAGTGCATTTGTTCTTGGATTGAGGAGGTAAAAGAGACATTTTGCCAATGGAACGAGACAATTTACACTTCAAATAAGAAAACACAATCGCATCATTTCAAGTGCATATCATCTAATTGTCTTATTTAAGAGTAAAAATACTAATTCCATTGGCAAACTATCTCATTTACCTATACTCAAATTAAGGGTAAATACAATTAATTTAAGAACTTTTTACTTATTTCTAGATCATTTTTCCAGTACATCCATTAAATACAGTACATGTAGATTCAAAAACAAACCATTTTAAACTAAGCCATCACTTAGTAATATATCTTTTTGCAAAATATTTATCATAGTTATTTGTAATTTATTTTAAATATAAAGGGAAGCAAATGGGCTCCCAATGAATTCCCAGTGAGTGCTTATGCACTGCAACATTCTGAAAATGAGTAGAAATGTCTTAAAATAGGTGTACGGTAATAACCCTCAATTCGAGTAGGAAAATAAGAACATCTGCCGACAGAATGAGTGTTTTTACCCTTAAAATAAGATAATTAGACATTATGCACTTGAAATTTAAGACTGCAGTTGTTTTTTCTTAGTTTAAATCTAAATTAAGTTGGCAAAGTGTCTCACTTACCTTCTCAATTTAGGAGAAAATGCACTTTTTTTAGGAAAAAAATGACTTACTCAGATTGACATTTGATTTTTGGTTTAAATTATAAAGTATTGGTTTATTAATTGTTTATCAATAATAAACTAATATTCCTCTCTGACAGTAAAAAAGCTGCTCTGATCTCATGAGTTTTTTGCTTTTATTCTTAGTGAAGTTTATCCTAAAGTCTTTGAATTGAAATCAAATATGATGCAGAAGCCTTTTTTTAATTTGTTGTTGTACAATTTTTCTTCTAAATATAGTTTAAATGGTATAAATCTAAGATGAAGTAATATCCTTCTGAGAAGATAAGTTTACCTTTGCTTCAAGCTTGGAGACGTGCTGCTTGTAGAGCTCATCCTTCTTCTTCATCTCCTTCTCTTTCTCCTCCAGCTGCTGCGCCTGCATGAGTTCAACTTTCATCAGCTAATCAGCACCTTGCAAAAAATATTCTTACCGTCTGAACATCACAGC